ACGACCATACATGAAATGCATGTCTGTTAATTCTGCGTTAGAGTAACCAGCCATAGCGAAAGAAAACTTGTGCACTGAGAACAACTGTCAAATACGTACTGTTTATTTCACTAAACATCAACCAACTATTATAAGAAAAGACACAACGTTTTTGCAAAATAAAAAAAGGGGCTAAAAAACATAAAACATTCCATATCTCCGCAACTGTTACTTTGCGGACCCATGTTTATTGCGACTTTTCTGCTTATTTTGGTTCATACTATTACCACCTTAAATATTTTACACTCGTTTTTTTAACACCCTGTATGTTGTAATTATTTGTCTTATTAAATAGATATTGTTTTTAACGTTTGTTATTTGAAAATTTTAGGTACCCTTTCATCAATGAGGCATTTGAAAGATGAAGTGGATGTTATTAAAATAGATACAGAATGTGGTTTGCAGTTATCTGAAAAATCTGTTAATTTTCAACAAGGAGATAAAATTATTTGTTATGAAATAAAAACTATACATCAGAAAATTAATTGGGACCCAGGATTTTAAATATCTTTATTTGCACACTTAAAGCTTGTAAATATAAAAAGTATTATAGTGTCTTTTTAGTACCTAGTGTGATTTACTTTTACCCATATTTCCCGAACTGTGTATTTTAAAGAAAAGAAGCAAAAAACACATGAATGTAATTAATTAATTAATTTAATGTAATTTAATTTAATTAACAAAAATTAATTTTGAGGGATTTTTTTCTAATTTCAAGCCCTGTGAGAAATTGTGTACATTTCTATTATTTTTCAGTTTTGTCCATCGCTAACCACTACTTTTTTTGTATCTTGGAAGCGCTGCTTGACCAAGCCATGTTCCATGGATCAAGCAGTAATCAGACGGAGCAATAACTCCTGAATATGTCGGGTGGGGTAAAAATATGTGGTCGAGCGTCGTCATGTTGAAAAATAGCTTTATCGTGCCTTTGCTCGAATTGCGGCCTTTTTTCCTTCAATGCACGACTCAAACGCATCAATTGTGTTCGGTAGTCTTCACCAGTGATGGTTTCATTCAGTCGAGGCAGCTCATAGTACACAACACCAAGCTGGTCCCAAAAAATATAAAGCATAAGCTTCGAACCATGTATATTTGGGCTTGCCATCGATGTTGATTCATGACCAGGCACACCCCTATGCTTAAAATGATCAAACATATAAATTTTTCATCACCAGTAATGATGCAATGCAAAAAACCGTTTCCTTTTTGCCGTTGAAGCAATTGTTCACAAGTGTAAAATCGCAGTTCAACATCTCTTGTCTTCAATTCTTATGGCACCCAATTTGCCTGTTTATGAATCATACCAGGTGCATTTAAACATTTGGAAACTGTTATGCGATCAATATACAACGATTCAACAAGTACATCTTGTGTTTACCAATCTTGGTTGAGTAATGCTTTGTCGACTGTATCGAAATCACCACTTCTAGAATGTTGAAAGCAATACTCACAGTCGCACACGTTTTTGTCGAAGGAGTACTTATAAATATGTTGTTTACACTTTAGCAAAATGACACATAATTAAAAGTAAAGCCTAGTAACATGAATACAGAGTGTAACTTTGAGTGAGTGTCATATTTTTACAGAGCTTCCGTTGACCTTTAGAAACATGTATCAACAATATATTTTTTCAAATTCTGTCATGAAAACTTATTTTTTTTTTTAATTCTTTTTTTCACAATTTTCTTACTTCACCGCTGGACAAGCTAGTGTAACTTCAAACTATGGCGTGCTTTTGTCATAGAGCATGTAAAATTAGATCTGTATAGGGACTCCTGAAATGTCGATTCGATGATTCCGAATCGAGATTGAAATAATATCGATATATCGGTACTCTTGTACTATCGAAATAATATCGAAACTCCGCCCATTCGAATCGATATAATATCGAGGAGTCTTGGCTAGCCGAAATGATTTGCTCTCTCTTCTATCACATGTATTGACTATTGCTGTATCTTTTCAACATTACAAATATGCACTTGTTTGCATTTGTGTTTTGTTTATTTTTACGTATTTAACCTCCTAATCCAGTGTAAAGTGTCAAATACCTACTTGTTTATGTATAATATATTATATTTACAACTATTTGAACAGTTTTTTAATGATACATTTTCTGTTAACATAATTATGTTCTTTAGGAGCAATCATCGATATTAATAATAATGGTACTTATGCATTAAATAAATATAAATACTGCATAATATTACAAATCTTGTTCTTGTCATGAGTGTGTATTTACCAGAACATTTTTCTCAAAGTTGGTAAAAATTTTATCCAATTGTTGGGGAGGTTTTAATAAATAACTTAAGTTATTTATGTGACTTTCTTTTTTCTTTATACCTCTAATAGTTTGTCGACTTGAAGCAAGAAGTCTACTCATTCCAACACCGTGCATAAAACCAGAAAGCACAAAATATAATTTAATACCTATTGAATTGAATAGTTTCCGAAGTTCTTTTTACTTCTTTTAAATGTCAAACAATAAACATAATTAAATAACATAATATTTTTATGTAAGCGAAATAATTACACAATTTTTTTATCCGGTAAAGATTAATAATGGATCCATTGAACCTCTTTAACTGTCTTCTCCAAATATTTTCAATCCTAAATGCTTCTCGTCGCTCTAATTTTTCAACAATAATTATAATCACAGAGGTAGTATTTTATGTTTTTTTATTTCAAATCGAATAAAAATTTAGGATGTGGAATATAAATAATTTGTCGAGTATGTACCTACGCATAAAACGTTTAAATATAAAGTACATTTAAAACAACTTTCATGGTTTACTGTTTTCTCGTAGAATAAATAAATAATTTTATAAACTTCTGTTTATTTATTTGATGATAGGTATTAATTTTAAAATTTAAATAAACAGCATGAGGCTGCCGCCAGACAAAAAGAGATATATAGCTGAAATACGTATGTTAGACAGAAATAAATATATCTTCATTTGGCTTAACCTTGGTGGTATACAACTTTACCCCAAATTAGCCGAACTTATCCGAGGACTATATCGATGTGCTTCAAGAGTACCAATTTATATTTCGAGTCGAATCGATCGAGATTGGCTTCGTAATTATCTCGATATCGATAAAACGACATCGAGATTTCAGGAGTCCCGCTACTGGACTGTGCAATGGTGTCAAATCTAATTTTTAAAAGAAAACATTAAAAAACAAGTTTCCACACCACTCGCCGTGAGGTTTGGCATGTTAATTTTGCTGAGTGTCCCACAGAAACTAAAGATTAATTCTTTTAAATAAGATAAACTATGAAACAGTATTTAACAAGTAATCTAACAGAAAATTTAAGCAATAATGAATAATAATAAATGAAATATACATAAATAAATAAACAATCTGTTCATTCTCCTGATTTTTCTTATTCGGCACTTATAAGTCGGCGTAATCTATCTAATATCGTTTTCTTTGCTCCTTATGAAAAGTAGGCTCTAACCATATCAACTATTTCTTGATTCGTATACATGCTTTTTCATAATGTACAGAAAATTGAAATTAAAACACAAAATTTCACTGCATAAACACTTTATGTAGAACCTTCCCTAAACCGATAATGTCTAGAGACTAAACCAAATGAAACTGCAGTTTTCAGTCATTCCTGTTTTAATCAGGTGTAGGCTCTTCTGTGCTTTTCAAGGCAAGGCATACCGCAACAGAACAGCTGTTTTTTAATGTTCGATGTTTTGTTCACATTAACATAGAAAAAAATATGTTTAACTTGCAAATAGCAAGTCGTAATATTAAATTAATCTGGTTTCAGAAAATTATTTTTAATTAGTTTTGTTGTTTAAAAGTTAATTAAAAAAAAATATTTACAATTAATAACGTATCCCTGTACCAATATTAGTAAATATTTAACAAGCCATGCAAAAATTATACAATGTAGATTGATTTAAAAACAACTGACGACGTTGATAGTATACTAACACAACTTCACATACAACTTCAGGGTGCGGAATACACAAAATTAAAAAAAACTAATTATATCTCGACTATTTATTTCATTAAAAAAATAATTTCAGATTCCTGTTCATTATAATACGTACTACTACCCCTAAGAAACTGACCCCCACTTAAAGTTACATCCTGTATAGTTACAGAAGTGTTCGATGCGATAAAGCAAAAGTTACGCCATCCCTTGTAAATCCCTCAAAATTTATTCAGTCCTAGTATATATTTCGAAAGAGATGACAAACACCCTTTTGTGTAATACTCCAAGCTGAGAACGTTTAAGTGTATTGTGAGTTCAATAATATGATGCATTTATGTTCTGTTAATGTTGTAAGAATGAATTTTAATATTATCTTTATTTTTTTAATTATAAAATTACAATTTGCACTAATAAATTATTTCAGATTTTGTAAACAGTATTTGATATTTATCTTATAGAAATACAATTGTCTAATATGAAATAGCTCACCATCTGCAAACGATCCAATGGATACATGAATTCTATATTAAAATTATTTAAAAAAATCTTTTGTGCAATGTTTCCAAACGACAATTGTGTGTTTTAGCTACACTGACCCAACCAAGAATACAATAATTTAAATTTATTAAAAAGAATACAATAATTTAAATGACTTTAGATCAGAACTTGATAAGAGTATTTTCAATTGTTGGACACTGAATATACAGGGTGTCCCACCGGGAACTGCATCGAACGATATCTAGGACAGTACTGCTCCAAAAACTTTGAAAATTTGGCAACATGGCAATATCTGGGACGAACACAACTAAAATATCTAGAACCCTCCAGCACTTCTGGTTATCCCGGAAGTCGACTGTAACTTCCTTATTTTAAATGGGACACCTTATACAGTGTAGGAAAGTACCGATGGTTTATCAGAAGTTACGTGAGAGCGATAAAGTAAGCCATAGAAATCCATGTGATAGACAAGGATGGCTATAATGAAGACGTCTAATAGTCAACGCCCATTTCGCCCTTCCACAAATAAGAAGTGGATCTTATTTGTGGAAGGGCGAAACGGGCGGTGACTATGAGAGGCCTTCATTATAGCCATCCTTCTCTATTGCATGGATTTCTATGGCTTACTTTATCGCTCTCACGTAACTTTAGATAGACCATCGGTACTTTCCTACCCTGTATATTATTGCATTTTCGGATTCTACGTGAAATTTGAGGGTCACTTTATTGGATATTCCCTATACCTAGGAGTTATAGATTTTGATATTAATTTTTAAAGAAAAAATTTGACAGATGCAAGGGTCCGCGGAGATGCTAGTCTCTTTTCAGGATATCAAGTGAATTTTTGGCACCTGTAAAGGGCATAGGTAACACTAAATTATGGTATACCAACAAATTAAAACATTTAATACTAGGTGTTTCATTTTTGCTGTTACATTTTGAACTTTAAACATCTATAACTTTGTTAACTTAAATGGAACACCCTGTATTTTTTTACTGTGTCTTTCCCATGGCCATGACCAGAAATACTCCAAAAACAATTGAAATTACTTGACACTTGTCAAATTAGTTGCCAAATTGTTGTGTGTGAATAGTTTTTGCCGAAAATTTAAATAAAAATGCCTGGGGATCGTTTAAATTATACCAATGAGGATTATTTAAATTTGTTTGTTATTTATGGAAAATGTGACAAAGTAATTTCAAGAACGTGGAGAATTTGCTGCTTTTGTCGATAAATAACAAACAAATTAAAATAATCCTCATTAGTATAATTTTAACGATCCCCAGGCATTTTTCAATTTTCAGCAAAAACTATTTAGACAATAATTTGACAACTAACTTGACAAATGGCCAATTTGACAACAGGTCTGATACGAAAAAAACTGTCCAAAAAATAGAAGATTGCAAACATCTCTACAAGTAGTAACGGCAACCCTAACAATGCTTATATGGCTTGAAAAGAAATTTCAATCTGCTACGACAGAATAAAAAATACATGATGTTCCATTTAAGTTAACAAAGTTATAGCTGTTTAAATTTATCGAAATGTAACAGCAAAAATGAAACACCTAGTATTAAATGTTTTAATTGTTGGTATACCTTAATTTAGTGTTACCTATGCCTTTTGCAGGTACTAAAAATCTACTTGATATCACGCCCCTGAAGAGTTACTAGCATCTCCGCGGACCCTTGCATCTGTCAATTTTTTTCTTTAAATATCAATATTCCAAATTGTATAACTCCTAGGAATAGGGAATATTTAATAGTGATCCTCAAATTTCACGTAGAATCCAAAAATGTAACAATATATAGGGTGTCCCATTTAAAATAACGAAGTTGGTGTCGACTTTCGGTGTAACCGGAAGTGCTGGAGAGTTCTAGATATTTTAGTTGTGTTCGCCCCAGGGACTTTGCCATGTTGCCAAATTTTCTAATTTTTCGGAGCAGTAATTTCCTAGATATCGATCGACGCAGTTCCCAGTGGGACACCCTGTATAGCTTAATATATTTAATGATGTGGTGCTGAAAATTTAACAGCATGTGGGAGAGACATGTACAGTGTAGGAAAGTACCGATGGTCTATCAGAAGTTACGTGAGAGCGATAAAGTAAGCCATAGAAATCCATGTGATAGACAAGGATGGCTATAATGAAGGCGTCTAATAGTCAACGCCCATTTCGCCCTTCCACAAATAAGATCCACTTCTTATTTGTGGAAGGGCGAAATGGGTGTTGACTATTAGACGCCTTCATTATACCCATCCTTGTCTATCACATGGATTTCTATGGCTTACTTTATCGCTCTCACGTAACTTCTCATAGACCATGGGTACTTTCCTACACTGTATGTAACATTGCCATGTACCAATGAATCTTGGCACAATTGCAATTTTGTAGTAAAAAAAATAGACCGGCTTTTCCAAGGTATACGTATTCAATATTAGCAAAGTGTAATATTAAATATGAGTAATACTTTTCCTTTTTATTATGAATACTGAAAAAAATTGCCAATATTGTTTGTTTTCAATTTTATTTGTATATTACAAAAATATAACCAATAATAATTATGAATTACACACACTTAAAAAAAATTAAAGAAGTCTTAAAAATCACAAATATGTACAATAATCTGAAATCAAATTATTAAGAATTTCCTAAAGTTTCCAATAGTAAAGTCATTAAAGTCTGAAAACGGTTGCTAATTTGCGGAACCGTTCTATTTTTTAATTGATCGGCGATAATTTTAAAAGCATATTCTTTGTCGTTCTCCTTTTGAAATGTTTCTAAAATAATCTTATCCTCTTCTCGCTTCCATGAACATTCTTCTCCTGTATTGCTGTCACTTTGTGAATGATTATTAATTGAGGATATACTAGAGTTACTGTCAGACTCACAATTATCTTGTGAAGATTCCTCACAAAATTCTGAAAATGTTGAAAATAATATTGCATTTAAAAATTAAGTATTTTCCATTTTTTTTTTAATTGGTGGATAAAATTTTGATTCAAATTATTAGTATTAATTAAAAAATTAACGTACCACTCTCAGATTCTGCAGTTTGTTGACCTGGACTGTTTACCTTCAATTCCAAAGAAGATATACCAGGATTATCCGCCCATTCCATAGATTCATTAGCTAGTCGCTTTTGTTGACCCAATGATGAACCTGCCTTTACCGTAATCTTTTCTTCTAGAGGCTTATCTGCTTTTTTATTACTTTCTTTACATTTTTTTACCGAATATGTTCTTTTTCTACTAGTTTTGTACTCCTTATTAGTTGGACTTGCATTACCAAATTTACTATTGCTATTTCTACTAGATCTACTTTTTTTAGTAAGTACAGTCTTTTGAGGTTCCTTAGAAACTTTTGAAGCCTTATCAGATGGTTTCTTCTTTGCAGATTTCCTCTTTGATTTCTTTTTAACATCTGCTTCATCTTCACTCTCCTGTGAGTAAAGTATATATCAATATAAACATTAAAATCCAAGATAAAATCTAACATACAGATTCATCAACGAGGCGTAACGTTAGTCTGACTAGCGGAAGTTGCGCAAAATGTTTGTGCCCGTGTTGCGCGAATTTTAATAAAAAGCGTAGTTCCATTCACAAAAAGTGTGCGAAGAAGGTGCAACTGTTAGTTATAATGCCACGTCTATTGTCTTGTGGTTAAACTATTATGAAGCACTGGAAATACTTATAATAATATATTGCAATTAAAAAAATAAAATGCAATGAATTTAATAAACTACACCTTAAGTTGCACAATTTGTATGCATGTCATGTAGAAGGTCTAAATTTTGACGTAACTATTAGCGCAAGTAAAAGGCGCAAGGGCAGCGCATTTTTTGTGAATACGTTTACATGGGCGCAAAACTCCTTTGTCCGACTAACGCCTTACACCCCTTTCATGAATCCGGCAGTAAGAATTTATTAATTTGTGAATATTATTTTGTTTTTTTTTATTATCTTTTGCCTCCTTGCAATTCTATTTAGAATTTTATTTTATTTTATTTGTTAACTTGTCCGTTTTAATATAATATAATCACTTATGGGCTATCATATTAAATAAAATATGGATATAAATCTATTGCTATAATCAGAGTAAAAAATATTTAAAATTGAGCAATGTAGGGAGTCCATAAAATTATCCAATAAAATATTATACCTATTACTACAGTTCACAAGCCTACTCAAATTATAATTACTTACACCATTTGAAGGTTATACAAAAAATTAAATTTCCAAATTGTTAATTATATTCATATATATATATATAAACAATTTTTGTACGCGAGTGTTTCCAATTGAAATGGGTCACACTATATATAGTGTGACCCATTTCAGTTGGAAACACTCGCATACAAAAGTTGTTTCTGGACCGATTTGAACCGGATTTTTTTTAAAAGATAGATGTCCAAAAGCACTCTCATGATGCAAAATTAGAAGGTGAAATTTTGATTTTCAAGGCCTACTATGAATTTTTTTCACTGTCAAATTTTACAAAAACTGTTTAGCGATTTTTTTATTTAAAATCTATCTACGGCACTGGATTCTGCATCCTCTAAAACGGTTTCATGCCAAATTTCATAAATAAATATTTTATAATGACGGTTTTATTACAATTTTAATATAGGCTTCATTTAATTCAATACTTTTATAGTAATTTTCTAAAAAAAATGTTGCCTATGAAAAATGATTTTTAAAAACATGGGAAATTTTTACGCTTTTAATTAATCGCATTAAACGTTTAACCTTATAATATTACGGTTATTAATAATTAGGTATTTAAATAAGTAAGTAAATAGCAATGGAAAATTAAAGCATTTTGCTAAAATTAAAAGATTCTCGTTTATATTAGTTTTTAAGTCACCATTTATATGGATGCAGTTTTAAAATTATTTACAAACATTTTTTACATGTAGTTGTTGCGGGGTAACTACCTACTTTAAAGATATTTGATATAACAACGTGTCGTACATCAAGGATAGAAAGCTTATTATAAGGGTGCTATGAAAACAAAACTCTTTTTGTAGTAAAACGTCAAATCTTTAAGATATGCTCATTGTCATTAGGACATTAGTTTCTTTCCATATTGTAATTATGGGTGGGCAATTAAATTTACAAGCAAAAATTGAAATTGTGCGGCTTTTAGGAGATAATGATAGGACTGTGGGAGAAGTATGTGGAATATTTCATAACAGGCACCCAGATGGGTCCCGAATAACTCAGAGTACTGTTTCTAAAATTTCCAAAGTTTTTAATGAATGCGGGGCTGTGTCGAGACGTATTATAAAAGCGGATCGAGTACAAAGAGGACCCAGGTACGAGCAAATTGTTTTAAATTATTTTAATAACAATCCAAACGTCAGTGTGAGAATAGCTTGTTTAAATTTAAATTTGAACAGAGAAAATATCCGCCGATGCCTTAAAAAAAATAAATTTAAACCATTCAAACCCAAGTTTTTACACACCTTGGAACCTGGTGATGATGAGAGGAGGATGGAATTTTGTTTATGGGCTCAAGGAGAGTATCTCAATAATAGATATTTTTTAAAAACTATTTTATTCAGCGATGAGGCGACTTTTACAACTAATGGAATTGTTTCGTCACAGAATTCTAGATACTGGGCTACAGAAAAACCAGATTGGATTATTAATTGTAAACGGCAATATTCTCAAAAAGTTAATGTTTGGTGTGGGATACTAAATGAAACTATCATTGGCCCTTTCTTTTTTGAGGGTAATATGAATAGCATACAGTTTTTACTGTTCCTGAGAAATGAATTTTGGAATATACTACATGAACTTCCAGTACAAGAAAGACTGAATGTTAATTTCCAATTAGATGGAAGTCCTATCCACAATGCAAGAGCGGTAACCGAATGGCTTGAAGATAACTTTCCTAACCGATGGATAGGTAGGAATAGCCCGCTAATTAGATGGCCACCCAGGTCTCCGGACTTAACGCCACTGGACTTCTTTTTATGGGGTGTCATAAAATCCAAAGTTTATAAGTCACGGCCAGGCAACAGAGAAGAGTTGTGTACAAAAATCAGGCAAGCTTGTGCAGAAGTTACCCCGCAACAACTACAGAATGTACAAAGAAATATTCGTAAGCGATTTGAAAAGTGCATCGAAATTAATGGCGGCCTTGTAGAGGCCACAAAAATATAAAATGTTATTAATAATTGTACTCTGATGTTGTTTAATATCGTTTAAATTTCATGTAATGCTTTATTTTCCTTTGCTATTTACTTACTTATTTAAATACCTAATTATTAATAACCGT